GGCCGTTAGTACCGTCATCATCATCGGTAGTGTGAGAACTGTTACAACAGCTCCACCTCACGTTCCCCCAAAAACCCACTGCCTCGACCAGCCGCAAAATCTGGGCGACAGTCGTTTACGTCCATCACCTGCAATAAGTTGCACCATCGCAGACATGTAGACAGTGTATCCCATTTAGCGTTTATCAGAAGTTAGAAAAACATGACATCATGAAGAAATACCACCAAGAAGACTTCAGTAATCCTAGGATAACTCGTGTCTGGAACATATTAGTATAGCATATTGACATCAACGAAATATAGTTGACCAAATGAAATAGCTCACAGCGTATCTGTTTTGCTTTTAATGAAAGAAAAGATCGATCCTTCACTCCTTGCGCTGAATGATTGACAAACATTGAGTTTAATAGTAGTAATCTCTATATTTATACACTAACTTAAGTGTATTTTTTAAGAAAATTCTCATAGTGGATGGATAAGGTTACTAACCACGACAGAGATAGTCATGTAGTCTAGTGCTGGGGGTGTGGCCAGCGTCTGGTTAGTGAGAGTGACGCGGTGAGTTCGACGTCTCTCGTGGTCAAGACTGCGTCTAACGATCACCAGTCCTGAAGGCGTCAGGGCAAAGGGCCCCGAGCTTTCTCGGGAGCTGGCAGCGTCCTCGACCCATCTCTCGGCGGCCTCGTCTGCCAGGATGGAATACTGCACCTTCTGCGGGCCTTCCACCCACAGTGACGTTATCACAGTGCCTGCAACGTCCACAAAGCTTAAATAATCTGTACTGCCTTCGTGGATTATTAAAAACACATCGTCAATATGTTTAATAAAACATTCAGTATACTATAAACAAAAAAGGTTTATTATCTAAAAAAAAAAGGCTAAGTACTCAAGACATTTGTTTGGCTCTATAAATGACTCTTGAGAGCTTAGAGGGTTCATGTGAATAAAATAATCTATTTTACGATTAAAGATTGATTTTGCACAACTATGGCTTAACCCTGCTTTCACAGGGGTCTCTGAAATATACATTACGTCGCTTTATGAAGAATAACAGAATAATCTCCGGGAACAGCTTACAACATCAGGATCTGATGAGGCATAAATACCTCCAGGGAAATTTGAAAGCTGTCTTTTGGAAAGCATAAAGTACCTCAGGGAAATTTAGAAGCTGTCATTGAGGCTGCACTTTATCTTACCAAGTGAAATGTACCTTGCAAATTTATGAAAATAGCGTAATATTAAGGTGTACCAATGTGGCACAGAACTACTGCTCTGTGAAAATATAAAAGCTGTAACTGTAGAGTTTACGTAAATGAATGTCGGCACGCCTCTGGCAAGACAGTGATAGTGAGTGATGGTGAAAGCGTTTTTTCTTTTGATTGTTTACGGGTCACCCTACTTCGGTTGGAGACGGCCGGTGTGTAATAAAAACGTATATTGTATATATGTAGTGTATATTTCCATCTGGGTGTGAGACTGAAATATACAGTGAGGCACTTCTGTGGCCAGAACCACCGGTCTTACCAAGCGGGGCGTCCTCTCTGAGGAAGAATTGAGCGTACTGTCTGGCGCACTGGGGGGGCCTGTCCTCCCTCCCCAGGAGGAAGATTGTGACGGGGACGTCACTGTGGTGACGAGGAGAACCACCGTCCTCTCCACGGATGAAGAACTGGTACACCTCGTTCTCTGCAACACAGGCACGTTGTTCAGTGTATATTCTCTTCATATTAAGGGTCGTGAAAAATCATTCGAGATTTTTTTTTATTTTAAACGTTTATCGTAAATAGGATATTTTGTTTTACAAATATCTTTAAGATTCTTGTATAGCTGTTTCACACATACTGCTTTTTTGTATCCTTATTTAAAATATATGTGCTTATTATAAATAAGGCAAACACTGCTTTTGAAAATCTTGTTAAAATTGCTTGTCTGTGCAACAGGCTTTGCTAGAAGGCTTTATATTTTTTTACTAGTGAAAACACTAGTAAAAAAAATCTAAGATGAACGCTACACGTTGTATGTGTAGGGCAGTGATGCTGGAGTGTGACTTACCTCGTCCTTGGACACTAACAGCGAGGGCGACCTGACCAGAAGTAGGGTCCACCTTGAACAATGTGAGCGCCTCGGAGCTGTTGGCCTCGTACATGTGGTACTGCACCTGGCTGTTGACACCCTCGTCTGCGTCAGTGGCCTCTACCTGTGTTGCAGACATGTGGTCATGGGTGGTAGTATTGGTGGGCAAGAAGGCTGTGATTTTTTACAATAAGGGTTTAATAAAGGCTTGAGAGTAACTGTTAGGGTGCTCACCTTGAAGAGCTGGGGGTGCTCACCTTGAAGAGTTGGGGTGCTCACCTTAAGTATGCTGGTGCCTGGAGCCACGTCAGTGTTGATGTTGGCTTGGTACTCTGGCAACGTGAACTGAGGTGCATTGTCGTTCTTGTCGCGAACGGCGATGCGCACCACCGCGAAGTTTGCACGGCCACCCTCATCTGTTACAGACACTCGCAAGTTGTGCACGCTGGTGACCTCGCGGTCCAGTTGGCTCTCTGAGTATATGTTGCCTGTCAGGTGAGGAGAAGGGAAAACGTACTTTTACAGAAGATGTTAATAAAAAGATTTTTTTTTTTACCTTACAAATTACCGTGACAAAATAAGTCATTGACAGACAATATTCTAACACAGTTTAATAGCCAGGATTTTATTTTCCTCGTCTAGGGACCAACTGAGTTCCATTATTAGAAATTGCTAGAGTGATACATGACAATTTTAACCTGTCATCATTGATGACTAATGATGAACTGACAGAAGATATTTCACTTTGGCCTGAGGAGCTTCGTTCATTGCTCCGCTTTATTTCATTTTCTGTTATATCGAAATAAAGAACAGAAGCAGAAAGAACTGTGGACTACGACTGTGTAAAACAGAAATTGAAAGAAAACCTGAAGTAGCCCGAGCAAGGGAAGGGAGACTAGGCTACAGCGTAAGTGGATATAGACAAAACAGGTTACACATCAGTTGATCTTGCTGGTTGGGTTATTCTCACCGTCTCTGTCAATCTTAAAGGCGCCTTCTGCTGTCTGGTGTAGGATGTGGTAGTGGAGAGCACCGAAGCCCCCAGCGTCAGGGTCGTGAGCGTTCAGTGACAACACCAGCTGGTCTGGAGCAGAGTTCTCCTCTATCTCGCCCTCATACACCACACGCTGGAACCTATAAAAACCCCGATGATAAACAATAATCTACTGCCACATGGTAGTTTGGCAAGGAAAAGAAAGATAATAGCATGGCTGGAACAATTCATAACCAATCAAGAAATTGGAAACTAAACTGGACGAGGCTCCGGTCCTGGCAGGACTTTACGATCCATTCCAAGTCTTCCAATTTTCATTTCGAAATTTTGGGTTGGTTATATACAGAATTACAGTTGTTTACCTAAATATTATCTTAAAGTCGCGGTGATTTTTTTTGTATATTCGTGACGTATCCATCCAGGAACGATATGTCTGGGCACAAAGCAATGTAATTACAAATCTACCTCATAAAAGTTGGTGGTCACCTGGGGGCGTGGTGGTTGGACGGGACAACGGCGACGTGGAGACCAGTGAAAGCCACATGTACACCATCACTCACGGACATGTTCAGGTTGAGAGACGTGATGTTCTCCAGCTTGTGTGGTGCGGTCACTGTCAGCAGCCCTGAACAACCATCACACATACAACTCTCATTAACCTTTGCAGGCAAATATTCTTAAAATTCTTCCCATGAATCGTGTAGCACAAAAGTCAAAGATGGTAATACTATTTCACATGGCTTAATTTAAACTAATAAAAAATTAACATTGCTTCACTCTTGTAATGCTAAACTTTATTGATACTGCTTGCGAAGTTTAGGAAAATTACCATATCAAAGTGTCTGGTTAGGTCTGAATAATCTATTTATGTTTGAAGTAAAGTTAGTGAGAGTTCTGCCTCGTTAGGCTTTGTTTACCAAGTCTTGAGTTTCTATGAGTGGAGTTTTCTCAAGAGGGAATTCACTGCTCCATTTAGTGCTGCTGTTTCTTTCAAAGTCTCAAGGTGTCTAGCGTGCCAGTACTATTACTAATACCAGTAAAAAACTTCTCGGATTCTGTTTTGTCCCCCTTTTATTACTAGTGATAATTAGTTTCGTAATTAATTTTGTTTATAACTTCCTGAACACAACATTAAAATTGTTTAAAATTATAGTCATTTGAGAAAAAATTAGGTAGAAACAATACACAGTAATATCACCTTACCTGTGATAGCATCCATCTTGAAGATCGTGTCTCTGTCTCCTGAGTGAATAGCGTAGTGAAGGGGTGTGAGATGGCCAGCGTCGGGGTCATGAGCAGACATGGCAGACACAACATGACCAGGCTGGGCCTCGGCCGACACTCTGCACGAGTAACTATCCTGACGCCAGGCCGGAGGGTTATCATTGAAGTCCAACACTGTGGCACACAGAAACTCTCATAATAGTCCCGCAACGTGGAAATTAAAGCCAAATGATGTTATGAGCGAAAAGAAAGGTATAAACCCAACAAAGTTATATAAAAAGTATTTATTTTTATATTGCTTTTAAGCAGTTTGTATTCATCCTTGACCAGGAACGTTGTGAATAAGTTATAATACTGCGGACGATGTTGTCGCCGTCGCCTTTCCTATGAGGTAGATGGTATCCCTTTCAAAATTCACATATTCTTCTATACACCTAAAGAAAATTTATTGCTCTCACCTTCGACAATGACTGAGGCAGTGGAGGAGTGCTGCGGGAGGCCAGCATCCGTGGCTACGACAGTAAGGAGGTGTTGAGACTCTGTTTCTGCATCCAGGTGACCGTTCAGCAGCACCACACCATCTTCAGCGCGGACTTCAAAAAGGTCGCAGCCATTACCGCAGGAGTAACGCACCTCCCCACCAGCTCCCGTGTCCTCGTCACTAGCTGACACCTGCAAGGGAAAGTGATGAGTCTTGGACGTCCCACACAGGTTCGTTAGGTCTAAGGCCTAACAACTCTCGCAAGGTAAGACACATATGCAACAATCTGTCGGTATTTTATACCATTTTAATGTTCAACTCTCGCAAGGCTCAAGACCTCAACACACTTCGTTACTAGCATGCATAATTTAATCAGTAAAATAAAAATTAACGTTAACTGTGTGTATATACAGGTATAGAAAAATTAAGACTGGAAATCCTATCATCACATCTCATGCATTTTTTTTTTTTTTGCTTTGTACAGGGTAGACCGGAAAGCCAGAGGAAAGTCCTCGATTGCATGACCAAAATTTTCACGACCCCTGTCACATTGTATGACACAAACCCTATAGTTGTACCCTAGTACTGCACACCCTGATACAATATATGTATACAGTACACAAGTAACCCCTGGGTTGTGTGTGTATTATTCCAGCCACGGTATTATGACTTTATTCTTCACAGTACCTGTCTAAGAACCCAGCATCTTTTTCGGCATAAATTTCTCACACTCCAGTCTGATAACATGGAACGTATTCTGCATGGATTGCAGAATGTGAAAAAACAGATTTTGAATTTTTACTTCCTTTGCTATTAATATTTATATATTAGAAGTGAATTGGTCACAACAGTAGTACGTTGATACTGACGGTGTAAATTTATGATGCAAGAATGTGTTTAAGGCGCTGAATAACCAAAAGGATCCATTGTTTTGTAAATACAACAGAGCCACTACTCTTCATGATATACAGAAGATGGGTTTATAGAAACAACAATGGCGTAATTAACTAATGATTAACAATTACAGGAATGGTAGCTAGTAAGAAAGTAGTCAAGTCGTGCTTCGTGTATATTAAATAAGAGTACGAGTTTTGAGTGTTCATGAGACAAAGAAAAACATTCCTACAAGAGTACATTCTTATGACAGGACGGCAATTTTTTCCTATGGATGTTTTGATAAAGAGTGGCTTATGCTGATAGGTGTTTCATACTATTCTTTTTTTAACAAGATGTGAAAAATGAGTACCATTATATTTATGATAGTTCTGTACAGAAATATTTTTGGTGGTACCAAGAGGGATGGGGAGAGTTAAGGAACTCACCTGGACAATCACGTGGCCAGGTGAAGCAGCCTCAGACACGCTGCCCTTGTACAGGTGACTGCTAAACACCGGGGGGTTGTCGTTGACATCTGTGACGGTGATGGTGGCGTGGGCGTCTGTGTACCCGCCCGTGACGGGATCTCTCGCTCGTACCGTCACGTTGTGGGCGTGGGCGGCCTCGTAGTCTAGCGAGCCTGTGGTCTGGATCACACCTACGAGACGGAGACTGTATCTTACAGCATGGGAGAAGCACTTCTATACCAGAATATTCGCATTCGTTCATGCATTATTTTCTTCCATTGTGGCAATGATAATTTCAAATAATGTAACACTCAGTATACCTATTCTATGAAATTATTTGGTTATTATGGAAAAGTTGTTAGTAAAGACTTAAAGCTGAGAACTTCATAATTCACAAGAACTAGTACCATACATTCACAGGGATTTGCACCTGATATTCACAGGGACCTGGACCTAATATTCATAGGAACCTTACCCTAATATTTACAGGGATCTGGACATAATAAAACGACCTGTACCTAAAATAATGACCTGTACCTAACATGGTTACCAATACCTAATATTTACAAAGACTTAAATAAGTCAAGGGGCTTGTTGTACCCAGGTCACAGATACCAATGAATAAGACAACATTTTTGCACCAACGAGACATGTATTAACGTTGGTAAAGCATACTGACTTTGAATGCAGAACTAATACCTTTGTAACCCACGACAAAAATCTTTTGTTAATGAGGCACTAGATGAGAGACAGAAGGAACATGGTGACTACAAGGATACATCCCACTGAAGCTAACACGACTAGGTGGAAGCTGTTTGTACCTACTGAAGCCAAACATGAGGTCAGAGGCTTCGTTGTAACGACGTCTAGTTATCAACCTATCCCTGAGGCATAAAAAAATTCTCTCTGGCATTTTAACACCTCAAATAACCCATTATTCTTCCTGGTACCTGACGTAAAATCAGCATAGCGTTCATTCTCTCTTCCCCTGACGTAGCCATAGATCCTGTTATTTTCCCTGGAACCTGTGACAACTATTACACTCATAAAGTACATTCTAAAAGAAGGCTGGGAGCGCTCAAGCCATTCCTTCTGCTTTTCAAGTTGACCACACGTTATAATAGTTACCCCTCCCCATGTCCCTCCCTCCCAACCGCCACATTCCCAACTCGTAAATAAAGCAGAAGTTAAAACATTTTATAACAACAAGCGAGTGAAATTATCCTCGGTGGTGCCAGAAGAGGAGTAAACTACTGTGAACCAGCGTCCTAATATACTAGTCTACTAGGGTGCTACAATACATTCATTCAGTGGAATGGGTTATTTTGAAGAGGACAACGTAACCTTCTGTGTATCGTGTGAAAAATGCCAAGAGGAGAAAAAAAT